ATTTATTAGTCTTATTATAAAGAATCAATGAATTCTATGCATGATGCAACCTCTACCCATAGGAAGGCTAGAACTTACTATTAAATTGAAATTGGTTAATTTAAATAAAGTATGTTTTTCATAGTATTAAAGTCTTTTCTTGGTTATTGCAGCTTTTTCTACTTGCTTTTATTGATACATCTAGTATTTCAATGCTTTGCGTGGTGGTAATTTTATTGATTGGAAAGAAAATATTCTCTTTGTATTTGGGTGTGTGGATTTGGATTTGGCCTTACGTATGGATGAACCACCCATCCCCATGGATTCAAGTGATGCTCAAGAAAAGACTAATTATGAGTGGTGGGAGAGATCTAATTGCTTAAGTTTAATGCTCATAAAGTCTCACATAAATAAGAGCATTGGGGGTTCAATCCTCGAATGCTATAAGGCAAAAGATTTTGTGAAGATCATATAGGAACAATTTGTTGATTACGATAAGACATTAGCTAACACCTTGATGAAAAAAGCTTTGTAACAAGTCATTTGACTATTTTAAAGGTGTGCGCAAGCATATTATGGAAATAAAGAACACCGTTGCTTAACTAAAGTCCTTAGAGGTAGAGATTTTTGAGTCATTCTTGGTGCATTTCATTTTGAACTCTCTCCCTACGGAATATGGTCCGTTTATGATTTCTTACAACATACATAAGGAAAAATGGTCAATTAATGAATTATTGACTTGTGTGTTCAAGAAGAAGGGAGATTGAAAGTTGAGAAACCTAAAAGGGCTCATTTGGTTTTTCAAGCTAAAGGAAATTCCAAGAAGGGTAAAAAAAGTTCTAAAAGTGAAGAAATATGAAAATATGCATATAAAGAAAAATGGCAATAATAGTAAATGTTTCTTCCGCAAGAAATACGGACATTTTAAGAAAGATTACCCTAAGTATCAAAAGTGGCTCGTAAAGAAAGGTAAACTTATCTCTTTCTTGTGTCATGAATCTATTTTTATTGAGACTCCTAGTAATACATAGTGGATTGATTCCGGTTCTATAATCCATATTATGAATACCATGCGGGGCTTTACGGACCTAAGGAAGCCGAAAGAAAATGAAGAAGACATCTATTCGGGAAATTGGATGCGCTCTAAAGTTGATGTCTGTTGGGACCTTTAGATTAATTTTAAAATTTAGATTTATTTTGGATTTAGAAAATGTCTTTTATGTTCCATCATTTTCTAGAAATTTGATTTCGTTTTCGGACTATGTGGTATTGGCTATGGATTTTTTTTTAATGAAAATATTTTTAGTATTTTGAAAAATAAAATTTCTATCGGTTGTGAAACATTAATTGATGGTTTATATAAAATTGATCTAGACCCTATTTTTTAGCTACACTATTTATCAATGTATGTTAATACATGTATTAAAAGGAGCAAAATTAATTAGAATTCCTTCACATTGTGGCATAGGAGATCGAGTCACATCTCCACTAAAAGAATTAAAAGATTGGTGAATGATGGAGTTTCAAATGCTCTTGATTTTACTGATTTTGGTACTTGTGTAGATTGCATAAAGGGAAAACAAACTACTAAGACGTCTAAAAGTGCCGGGACGAGCTCAAAAATTTTAGAAATCATACACACTAACATATGTGAAACGTTTAATACTCCTTACCTAAATGGTCAAAGATATTTTATCTCATTCATTGATGACCATTCTAGATTTATGTATCTTTATCTTTTACATGATAAGGTCTGAAGCACTTAATGCTTTTAAAACCTTTAAGGTTGAGGTAGAGAAACAAAAGAAAAAGGATAAATGCCGAGTCCATGTGTAAAGTTCCTTAAAGGAGAGGGCATTATTGCATAATATACAATGTCGGCACACCACGACAGAAATGATATAGCTAAAAGAAGGAATCGTACTCTTATGGACATAGTGAGAAAAATGATTAGTAATTCTAACTTACCATTATTTTTATAGAGTGAAGCACTAAAGACTATTGTGTATATTCTAAATAGAGTTCCATCTAAGGCTATTTCTAGGACACCTTTTGAATTATGGAATGGATGGAAACCTAGTTTAAATCATACATATGTATAGGGTTGTCCTGTTGAGGTAATGATTTAAAATTCTCAATTAAAGAAATTATACCCTAGAACAACCGAGTGGATATTTCATTGGTTATGCGAGTAAACTCTAAAGGATATAGGTTTTATTGTCCTTTTCTCGGTACAAGAATAATAGAGGTAAGAAATATTAAATTTCTTGAGGATCTCAACCTTAGTAGGAGTGATTTTTATTGAAGAATAAAATTTAAGAAAACGCAAGATTCAACTATGTTGCATAAAGATACAAGGCAATTGGTTATTGTTCAAGACAATCAATTAGATATTATTGAATAACAACCAATTCTGAGCGACAAGTTCAAGAGCAACTAGCTCTCGATGAGATAAACTTGCATGAAGATGTTGAATTGAGAAGATTTTCAAGAATAAGTAGACTTGTAATTTCTAATGATTATGTTGTATACCTTTAAGAGTCCGACTTTGATGTTGGACTTAAGAATGATCCAAACTCGTTTTTACAAGCCATAAATGGAGAAAACTCCAATTTATGTTATAATGCCATGAAGTAAGGAATGAAGTCTATGCATAAAAATCAAGTTTGGGACCTCGTCGAATTACCAAACGGATCTGTAGCCGTTGGTTGCAAATGGATTTATAAAGCCAAAAAAGATTCTTCTAGTAATATTTAACGATATAAAGCTAGACTTGTGGTTAAGGATTATACCCAATGGAAGGCATAGACTATCATAAGACTTTTTTTCTTTCTCTAAAAAGAATTCATTCGGAATAATAATGGCATTAGTAGCTCATTTTGACTTGGAGCTACATCGGATGGATGTGAAAATAACATTTTTGAACAAAATTTTGGATGAAGAGGTATACATGAATCAACTTTGAAGGTTTTTGTGATGATGCAAATAGTCACTTGGTTTGTAAGCTAAAAAAATCTATATATATATATAGGCTAAAGCAAGCCTCCCGACAGTGGTATATTAAGTTTCACAATGTTATAATCTCATATGATTTTATTGAGAACATTGTTGATCAATGTATATATCTTAAAGTTAGGGGAGCAAATATATTTTTCTTGTCTTATATGTAAATGATATTTTGCTTACATGTAGTGACTTGGGTTTGCTTCATGAGACTAAAAAATTTCTTTCTCAAAACTTTGATATGAAGGATTTAAGTGAAATCTCTTATGTCATTGGCATAGAGATTCATAGAGACCGATCTCAAAGAATATTAGAATAGTCTCAAAAAGCCTACATTGAAAAAGTCTTGAAAAGATTCATGATGTTAAATTGTGCATCTTCGGTAGCACTCATTTTCAAAGGGGATAAATTCAATTTGAATCAATGTCCACAAAAATGCATTGGAAAATGAGCAAATGAGTAACATTTTTTATGCATCCGTAGTATGCGGTTTGATGTTTGCACGGTTCGAGTAATATACCTCCTGCCATAATTGATTCGGTGCTCAAAATATTGCTAAAAGAAAAGCTGGAGCCATCAAGAGAGAGAGTTTTCTAGTCTATGTCAATACTTTAGGGATTTATTTGTTGATAGAAAATACGAGGCTTTACTTACTATTTATATGGCTAGACTAGGAACTCTTTCTTTAACTTAATTTTGCACCTCCATCCATCATGGATGTGCCTAACCCATCATTAAAGTCCATTGGACTCTAAGTCTTTAAATTGTCACTTATAGATTTAAAACACAACATGACACATGAACCACATTATAAGAATATTTTTCACATTCTCCCACTTGGCCCATATGACACTCTAAAAAATGATAATTTCTTTATAAAGTCCAGAATGATTAGCTAATGAAAACACTTATACTTAGATTAAGAATACAATAAATGAATCATGGCGGTCATGCTTTATAACTAAGCATTTCCTTCTATGTATTACAATATATTATATACTTAAAACAAGTACTTAATGAGCAAATAAACTTTATGAATGAACTTTCAATAAGTCATTCGAGTCCAAGTTACACATCAAAATGAATATAAAATTAATACTTTATGTGCACAAAAATTATATCAATCTTTAAGAACAACTTAAAAAATGTTTAGACAACCAATAAAAAAAATGAAGTCAAACAATAAATGGGTTAGCTAGACCTATACGATCTACATGATCTCTATACTATTTTATCGAAAAATTCTTTAGTCATAGAATCTGCAATAATTAGCTTAGTGCTAACATGCTCAATGAATGCTTCAAGTTCCTTTAACAAATGCATCCACTTCACTCCAGCAAGACACCAAATTATTTGGTTTTTCAAAAAATAGGTATTAAGCTACAGTTAACTTTTAAAATATTATTTATGGGGAAAGTGGGGCCAGAGCTTTTCTGTATTGTATTATTACTATTTGATAAATTTGCAGTGATGCCACCCTTTCTTGGCCTCCAATTAGGATCGTGGAGATCTATTTTTTCAACAAATCCCTCCCAGCACGAAGGCCCCACAGGCAATAATCAACGCTTTGAGAATGGCCATTGATACAGAGAAGGGTTTCCCCTAATGCCTGTTCTTGTCGCATCGCATGTGTTGCATACTTTTCCTCGCATGTTAAATATGGTTGTAGTAATCTTTTTAATAAACAATGTTGACGCGTTAGTGCATTACTTTTTTTTTTCTTTTTCTTTTTTCCCTTCAATTATTGACGCTTTCATAAAGTGACAACAACTCCATATATAATGCCACTCAGGTCTCAAACGAATCTAAGCCACTGCATAAAGTCCTAACCAGTCTCAAATAACCAAGCAACTGATCCTCTTTCTAAATTTAGCAAACAACAATTTGCATCTTCATTAAGATCTTAGCTTAATTTCCTAGCTGTTTCCATTTTAAAGGTTCCTTGTTTACAACAAGCTAAATTAAACTAGGGTGCATTCACTACTTCAAGCCTCGTAGGAAGGATTAATTTGTATTCAATGGCCAAGGAGATGAGGGGTTTCCGTTCTTGGATTGAAGTAGCTCCAGCTCCCATCATTTATCCTCATAAGCCTTCAAATTCTCCCCGTTTGGAGACGATAACCGAAGAGGGTAACGAGGAACACGATGAAGAAGATTCATAAGCTTTCCAATCCTCCCCATTGGATCCTTAATTTTTATGGCTCTTTGGGGATTCAATTGATCACTGTTACCTTTGCGTTGCCATGTTGAAGTTTCATTGCAGCAGCATTCTCACTTAGCAAAAAGTCCATATTATTTAATGCCGCTCAATTAGGTCGCAAATGTAACAACGCTATATATATATATATATAGCCAACATGGTGTAAATTTTGCTGATTAGTTTTTTTTTTTTAATTTAGATTTGATTACAAAATCTCTCTTAAGGAAGAGCTATATATTCAATATTCGATTTGGTGCCTTTGCAATGCATTTTTCTTATGCATCTGGATCTAGTTAATTAAAATCTGGAACAAAGGACGAGGAGAGAGCGAAAATAAGTTGCAAAATGAGGGGTGTGATCTAAAACTACGTTGTGCAATTTGTCGTTTAGCTTATATTATGGACGATGGGTCGTCCAAGTTGCCAGTAATTAGAAATGAGAAGAACTTGTTCTTTAACGAAAATGTGGCGCTTTCTTATCTACTAACATGAGAGCAATATGCATTATATTTAATAATCGGTAAATAATGATACCTGATTATTTATTTTGTTTTTAACTCGTATTTTTCTCACTAATTTTCACATATTAAGACTAATTTTCTACATTCAATTTTTCTAAATATCTCTACTAGAATTGGTTTATTTAAGGAAAAAAAAATTCACAATACTCATAATTTGAAACTTCCAAATGTATCGCTAATGTAAGTCATAAAATACTTCCAAACTCTCGAACTCAATGTTTGGTGGGGTAAAAGAGAAATTATTCTACGAGTCAAGTTCACTCATTAATACACATTAACAAAATGATGAATCCCACAATTATTTTATGGTTTGTTTTACACAATATATATATATATATATATATATATGAGTAAGTTAGCAACGAGTCCAACTCATGCAATAATTTCTGGAGTTTAAAAACAAGATATAAAATTACTATGAACAAATTCTAAAAAAAACTAAAAGAATTGGAATGTGTCAACAATAAGTGAACAGTAATGAACAATATCTTGATTTTTTTGTTCAGTTTTTTTTTCTCTGCTGCTGGGTTGATTAGCAGCCAAGGCTTGGCTCTTGGGCACGCACGCGCCTAGCCACCTCTTTTTTTTTTTTCTTCATATATCCAAGCTTGGTGCCCAGGTTGGCATTCTTTCCTTTTGTTTTTCTTACTTCTTTTATATATATATATATATATATATATATATATATATATATATATATGACTCATAATTAACAAACATATTTTTAAGTTACAATGGTCATTTTGAAACATTTTTAATTTTTGATTGTATTACAAATTTATAATGATGGATAATTTTTTGATATAATTTTATTTCTCAATGAATTTAGTTTTTTAATATATGAATTTTAGGATAAAATTTCACAACCCCAATGTTTTATTTTTTTAAAATATATTATTATGATTTATACAATAAATTATTTTTATATTTTTAAATGTGTTTTATTTTTTAATATATATATATATATATATATATATATATATATATATATATATAGATATAGAGAGAGAGAGAGAGAGAGAGAGAGAGAGAGAGAGAGAGAGAAAAGTATGTTTTAGATAGATTGAATCAATTTTTTTTAAAAAAATAATGAGTTAAAAAATTCATAATTTTTATTTACTTTTTTATATCTATTTATTCGAACTTTATCAAAACCAATTTTATTGTAGTTTTTATTTTAATCTATTGACTTCAATATATTTCTACAATTTAGGTGGTTTTTTTGTATATTTTATATATATATAGTTTTATTACAACTTAAATATATATATATTCGATTTATATTAATCATAAAAAATAAAATTTTCTACTCGAATTACACCGTACGAATTGTTAATCCTACGTATGTAACGGTTATCTACATGCAGCGTAGCGTGCGGATATCCGGCTAATTATAACCTAAACCTAGTCCTTGTATTTTTATTAAATAAATAATTTAGTGTCTTTAGTTCAAAAAATTATTCAATCCTTTAAGCATATTTAATCATCAAGTCATCAAAAAAAAAAGTAAAGAAAAACTCGGTGATAGCTCAGCATTTCATTCACTATAAATAAAACCTAAATTATTAACATATACAGAAATATAGGGATTAATTAATTATCGTTGAAACTAAAGGAACTACACTCCATTGACTGAAAATAAACGGAGGGACTAGATTATTAACATATATGAAAAATAGAGATCAATTAATTATTTTTTAAACTAAAGGAACTAAATTATTTATTTCTTCAAAAATAAGGACTAGGCTATAATTACTCAATTACTTTTTTTTTTTAACTAAACAAAATAGTTGTTTTATGAGGATGTGGACGCAAAACATCCTTTTATTATGATTAATAATAAACCTGCTGGGATGCCACTCTTCGAGGCCTCGGAATAAGGAGATCTATTAGCAAATCTCTCCCAACTACTCAGGGCTCCACAACCAATGCTGTGAGAAGTTGCAGGCAAGTGGAAGCTCTGTTTCCCACGTATGACGTACCTTACTTTTGTCGCATTTGTTAAGTATTTTCCTTACATGTTTCTCACATGTTGTGGCTATTGGCTAAGTATCTGCGAGTGGTAAAACAACTTCTTGAATAAACAATGTTTACGCGTTACCTAATTCTTTTCACTCCATTATTGATGCTTATATAAAGCGGCAGCTCCTCCTCATCCAGTGCCACTCAGATCTCAATTCTCAAACCAATCTCACCCACTACAGAAATTCCCTCAGCTAAAGTCCTAAACAGTCTCAAGTAACCAAGCAATTGATCCTCTAGTTAAAGCAAGCAACCTCTTGCATCTCTATTCGGATCTTAGCTTGAATTCGCAATTCCATTTTCTAACAAGGTAAAAGGAAGTGCATTTTCGTACTTTAATTAAGACTTGTAAGAAGGTATTTGTATTCAGCAATGGCAAAGGAGATCAAAGATTTGCGCTCTTGGATTGAAGTTACTCCAGCCCTCTTCATTTCTTTGCGTAAGACTTCTAGTTCCCCTTCTTTGGAGACCATTACAGAAGAGGAGGCTGAGGACAGGGAAGATGATAAATAATATAATATTCAGTGTGTTTCTCTCCGTCTTCGACTGTTAATTTGGTCCCTCAATTTTCTGCATATCGGTTGAATTGAATCAACAGATCATGGAATATAACTCAATTTTGTTGTTCATCCTGACAAGTTGTCCGTGTTTTTAGTGAGACAAATTACATCGCTTTTAATCTTCTTTCATGTTCTTTCTTTTTCCAATATTTCAGTCCTAATTTCTCCGATCACTAATAATGTTTAACTGCAATTTCCAAATCAAACTTAAAAGGTTAATTATGTCTTCGAAAAACTTATTACGCAGAACTTCAATAAAAGAATTTTGTGCTCTAAAGCGACTATGATTTCACAAAGGTACCAATATTGTTCGTCCAACAAGTTATTGTTACAAAAATAGATTTTGTTGAGTTTTATTTTTTTTAATGAGCAAGATGGATACATAGAGCTAGTTTTTATACTTCAACATGAAGTCACTCTACTTATAAATCCTATATATATATATATATATATATATATATATATATAATTCCTACATTCTACATGGACTGGCTCGTTTAATGCAGGCAAGTAATAAAACCTCCTTTAAAACGTAGTTTGTTTAATAAAAAGAGAAGGGTAAAGTTTGGCCAAAACATGAACAAGCCTAAAGAACCAAATTAAAACAACCATTGCCTCTTGTTTCTTCTTTGTTTTCCCCTGTATCCTTGTATGTTTCCTTTTTCTCCCAGGATGTTTCTTCTGTGTTTCCTTTTTCTCTTTATTATTCTGGCTCTTTTTCATTAATTTCTTGTGTGTATGTTATGTTTTTTGGCTTGGTTTGTTGCTCTATTTAAACAATGCGATGGAAGGTTTAATGGCATGATCTTTGGGATGATTTCCTGTTTTTTGGCATGTTTAATAAATATGTTGATATTGTAGATTAAAATATTATTTGTTATAAAAGAAATGGTAACAATATTAGAATTAAAGAGAAAGGTGATAGAAAAATAAATTCATTATAAAATAAAGTGAATATAAGAGATAACAATATCAAATAATTCTTTTAATCTTTACAAAATACTTGTGTACAAACTAATAAACAATCGAGCTTATTTATAGGCTTCAAAATCGGGATGAGAATTTGAAGAGACTATAAACTATTAAAAGTACACAAATTGTTGAATCAATTGCATCACCCTTTCAATTTTTCATATTGAATGATGAATTGAATCATATTAAAAATTACAAGTAATGAAAAAATGAAAAGCATATGAACATTCATATGGATATTCATTATTTCATAATACTTCATCTTTAATGTCTATAATAAAAGGAACATACCTCATTAAAACTTTATTAGAAAAAATTCAATGGGAAAAAATTCTAATGAAGAAAAAAGAGTACAATATTCCTTGTACATATTAATCTTTAGGATCCTTAAGACATCATTTAAGATCTTCAAGACGATACATCTTAGTCTTATGAACTATTTTCTCAAAAGTTGTGGTAGGTAATACCTTAGCGAATAAATTTATCGGATTGTCACTTTTATGTATTCTTCCTTTAATTGAATTATGCAAGCGACATTACCTTCATATAATATTGTTGAAACTTCTTTACCGATAGATAAACCGCATGTCTTTCGGATATGATGGATTGTTAATCTTAGCCAAGCACATTCTCGACTTGTCTCATGAATTAATATTTCGTATAGTTTGAATATCAATATCTAATAGCTATGGTTTATTTTATAAAACGTCATGATATAGCTTTATTATCAAGTGTAAATCCATAACTTCTTTATGATTGAGTTTTGTATGAATCGGATAAATAACTTGTATTCACATATCAATTAAATATGACTTTGATTTATTTGAATAAAATAAATATCATATCAATTTTTTTCGGAGATAATGTAGAAAATTTTTAATTCCATTTCAATATTTCCGTATTAGAGCAAAACTATTACTTCCTAATAAATTTATAGAAAATACTATATCATGTCTAGTATTATTAGCAACATATATTAATGCACCGGTGGCGTTGAGATATGGTACTTCGAGATCAAATATGTTTTTGTTATCTTTTTGAGGTTAAAAGGGTCTTTATGGATATCAAGTGAACGAATTACCATTGGGCTAGTCAATTGATGATCTTTATATAGAATAATTGTAGAACTTTTTCTATATAAATTGACTAATAAATAAAAATATAATTCTTTAAGTGCTCGAACCGCAAGTCGAGATAAAATTTGTTTTCTCAAGGTATTTCATATCAAATTCTGTTTTTAGATTATTTTTGGCACTTGGAATCTCTTTAGGAGTTTTAATAATATTTAAATCATCAACATATACGAGTAATTATCATAAATCCATTTTCAAATTTCTTTATAAAAATACATGATCAAATATGGTTATTTTTGTAACTTTTTTAAACAAATATTTATTAAGATGATTATACCACATCTATCCAAATTAGTAATAAAGAGTAAATATTGAAAAATGAAATATAAAAAGTATAGCATAAATTAAATTTCTAAAAACAAAAGTAATAAAATAAACACTTAAATAATCTTTATTGAGATCTATATATATATATATATATATATATATATATATATATATATATATATATATATATTACATGCTTCAAGTATCTTAAGTCCTTTTAGGACTTTCATATGAATATCATTTTTAACTCGAACAAATAAGTTGTGATCACATTTATTAAATGCATAAATATGAAGATTTTCATATATTTTACTAGGCTAACAAGATAACAAAATATAATTGCATCCATTATAGGATAATATGTCTCTTCATAGTTAATATCAAATCCTTGCAAAAACCCTTATGTTACAAGTCTTGTTTTGTATCTCATAATCTCATCTTTCTTATTTTGTTTTTGCTAAAATGAGTATTTTTATCCCACGACTTAACATCTTAGAGTTTTTGATTATGAGTTTAAAAATTACTCATTTGTAAGAGAATATAATTCCGCTCGAATTGTTTTTTTCATTTAGGTCAATTTTCTCTATGTCGACTATAAATTTAGGCTCATTATCCTTATTTTCATTCAAAATATCAATTGTAATATTTTATGTAAAAATCTTATCAATAAAAATTTCTTTTCGGTCCTATTTTTTTCCTGTATTGATATAATTTATCAAAGTCTCTTGACATAATTTATCCTTATTTTCATTCAAAATATCAATTGCAATATTGTATGTAAAAATCTTATCAATAAATATATTTTTTCGATCCTATTTTCTCCATGTATTGACACAATTTATTAAAGTCTCATGATTTTTCTCAAGCATTTGGACTTCTTCTAGAAGCCTATTATCATAAATATATTGGACTGTGTTGTGAATATTTGCATCCTTTATATTTTCATCTTGATTAGTTATCCCTTTCTTTTGAGGATTTTTATTTTTAGAATCAATCGGTCTTACACACTTCGAGTGCTTTAGATTCATTTGTTATAACATTAATAGATTGTCTTTCTAGGATATCAAATCTAATAGGAACATTCTCGGTCGGGACATATTTTTTAGTTACTCATTTAGGATCCGAGATTGCATCTAGTAGTTGATTTGCAATACCTTATAAATAAATTATATTTTGAACTTCTAGTTAACATTGTTTTGTATGAGGATCAAGAGGATATAAAGATAGAGTACTCTATGTAAGCTTTTTTGTCAATGTTTTTAACTCGTTTATTTCGCTTATTCTCTCATTCTAATGTTAGAAAAAGCTGTCTCATCAAAATGACAATTGATAAATCGAGTTGTAAAAATATCTTTTATTCATGGTTCAATATTTTTAATTATAGAATAAGATTCAAATCCAACATATATTTTCAATTTCCTTTAAGTGCTTATTTTAGTTCGTTGTGAAGAAGCACTATAGATATATACTTGCATAACCAAAAATTGTTAAATGAGAAATATTTGGCTTATGACCATAAACCAATTGAAGGGAGGAGAATTTCTAATAACTTATGGGTTTAATGCGAATAAGTGTTACTATATGTAAGATTGTATATCCTCAAAAATAAATATGGAGTTTTGTTTTCATAAGTAATGGTTTAGCTATCAATTAGAGCTTTTTGGTAAATGATTTTACTAAACCTTTCTAAGTATAAATATGAGCAACGAGTACGTTCAACCTTTATTCTAATAGTCAATTAATAATTATTTAATGCTTAAGAGATAAATTCACCGAGTAGTATCAATATGACTTGTTTTAATGGCATAATCTGAAAATTATGCTCGAAATCGAATTATTTAAGCTAGCAACCTCAAAAATGCCAAGTTTTAAGTAGATAATAATCATACATGGGATCATCTTGTGGATGCATTTATTAAAATCATAAAATATCTAAATGATTTATATGGTGGATGAATCGATCCACATATGTCATCTTCAATACGTTTTAAAAAAATTGAAGATTTAATCTTAATTTTACTTAGTGATGACTTAATAATTAATTTGTCTAAATAACATACAAAACATGAAAGTTCATTAAATTAAAGAATCTTCCGGCTCTTCGATATATGTTCATATAAATTTTTAATAATTTTTCGCATAATAAAAGACCCAAGATAGCCCAATCAATCATGCCACATAATAAATGTATTTGAATTAGTAAACTTCTTGTTTACTCGTAGCATTTGTTTCAATCATTCAAATGTTTGTAATAAAGATGACAAGAGAAAAATAGGTAATTTCTCCAATATATATTTTTTACTCGTTAAAAGTATTGTAATATATAAGTATTCAATATTTTGAACATTTATTGTCTCGATATGATATCTATTTAGATGAATATTTTTAAAAGTCAACAAATATTTGTGAGAGTTTGGAGAGAATAATACATTATTTATAATAAATTTTTTTCCTTTAAGTAATAATATATTTGTCCTTCTAAAGCTTTCAAATTTTTTTTCTTCAAATAATAATATATTTGCTCTTTTACAGACTTTCAAAATTTATCTCTTCAAGTAATAATATATTCACTCTTCTATAGCCTTTAAAATTTATCTATTCGAGATAATAATATATTTGTTCTTTTGCAACTTTCTATTTGATTGAGAGTATCAAATATAATATTAAAAAATAATTAAATAAACATAAAATGAATAAATATATATTCTTCATAAATATAAATAAATAAATTTATATTTATCTATATGTAATAGAAATCATAATAAAATATAAGATATCTTATTTATAAATAAAAAAGTTAACGAATTATTAATTTAAATTATCATCATTTTGATATATAAAATTAACATTTATATTTTGTTTTATCTTTTCAATGTTGCTTGATAAATTTTAATAAAATATTTCGATATACGATAAATACGCGATCAATATCTTTTTATACTATACCAATAACATTTATCTAGGAGCTTAGCACTAGGTTATAATTAACTCAATTACTTTAGGTTTTTTTTTTTTTTTACTGAACAAAATATTACTTTTTCGAGGCTGCGGACCCAAAACATTTTATTGTTAATAATAAACATGCAGCGATGCCACTCTTCGAGGCCTCGGAATAAGGAGATCTATTAGCAAATCTCTCCCAACCACTCAGGGCTCCACAACCAATGCTGTAGGAAGGTGCAGGCAAGTGGAAACTTGGTTTCCCACGTATGACGTACCTCGCTTTTGTCGTATTTGTTACGTATTTTCCTTACATGTTTCTCACATGTTGGGGCTATTGGCCAAGTATCTGTGAGTGGTAAAACAACTTCTTGAATAAACAATGTTTACGCGTTACCTAATTCTTTTCACTCCATTATTGATGCTTATATAAAGCGGCAGCTCCTCCTCATCTAGTGCCACTCAGATCTCAATTCTCAAACCAATCTCACCCACTACACAAATTCCCTCAGCTAAAGTCCTAAACAGTCTCAAGTAACCAAACAATTGATCCTCTAGTTAAAGCAAGCAACCACTTGCATCCCTATTCGGATCTTAGCTTGAATTCGCAATTCCATTTTCGAACAAGGTAAAAGGAAGTGCATTTTCGCTACTGTACTTAAGACTTGTAAGAAGGTATTTGTATTCAGCAATGGCAAAGGAGATCAAAGATTTGAGCTCTTGGATTGAAGTTACTCCAGCCCTCTTCATTTCTTTGCGCAAGACTTCTAGTTCCCCTTCTTTGGAGACCATTACAGAAGAGGAGGCTGAGGACAGGGAAGATGATAAATAATACAATATTCAGTGTGTTTCTCTCCGTCTTCGACTGTTAATTTGGTCCCTCAATTTTCTGCATATTGGTTGAATTGAATCAACCGATCATGGAATGTAACTCAATTTTTTTGTTCATCCTGACAAGTTGTCCGTGTTTTTAGTGAGACAAATTACATCGCTTTTAATCTTCTTTCATGTTCTTTCTTTTTCCAATATTTCAGTCCTAATTTCTCCGATCACTAATAACGTTTAACTGCAATTTCCAAATCAAACTTGAAAGGTTAATTATGTCTTCGAAAAACTTATTATACAGAACTTCAACAAAAGAATTTTGTACTCTAAAGCGAATATGATTTCACGAAGGGACCAATGTTCGTCCAACAAGTTATTGTTACGAAAATATATTTTGTTTAATTTTATTTTTTTTATTGAGCAAGATATATATAGCTAGTTTTTATACATCAATATTAAGTCTCTAACATAAACCAGTTCTAACCTTTAACCATTTTGTTGTTGTCCTAATTACTCCAATTGTTTTCAAATAAGCATAACTATTATACTTTAATTAAAAACAAGCATATTTAAGTTTTAATGTACCTTGTAAGTTCACTCGGCTTTAATAAATAAAGTTTAGTGTAATGTATCTAATAAAATGCTGGTCTCCCACACCTCTCATGAAGAATAATCGGCCAATTTAGTCCTATCAAGGTGCAAGTGCTAATTAAGATGACAATTTGGTCTATTCTGACGAATTACAATTATCTGCCCTTTCCTTCTATCATGGGAGGGACTTTTCTCGATCATCTTTATGGTGATTGGTTTGCAGACCTTAACCCTATAATTCACCAATATCAATCTGATTCCCATAATTAAAATTATTATATGTCAGATGCGAATCATACCACTTTAATTATTCTGGCCGAGAATTGTGTATATAACGATCCGACTGGCTACTGGATGTAAACCGAGGGACTGCTTTGTTTGGTTGGTTCCCAAGAACTCTACCCTTAAGACGACCTTGAAATTAAGCGTCCAATAGGGAGAGGCAATCAATCAATTGCCCTGCTCGCTCTCCCTCTTCCTTTGGTCAAGCAGGCCCCTGCCTTCGAGCTACTTTTAGAAAAAGAGAAATTGATCTCTATGCTGATTCTCAAAAAGCTTCCATTATCGACAAAAAAAAACTTTGCTTTACGCGGTTGAGCGAGAAATTTTTAAAAATCTGATTACGCGATTGATTATTAAATTAATCGAGATTAGAAGAGATAATATTATAATTTATATAAATAATGGTTAATTAATTAAATAAAATGTCAACAATTTTTCTCGATTATCTTTACGTTGATTGGTTTGGAGACAATTATCCTAATCCTTGTCCCATAATTCACCAATATCAATGTAATCCTCATAACTAGAATTATTATATGTCAGAGGATTATATCACTTTAATTATTCTGTGATAATATGCCTTGATCTTTACCCAAACTATTGCCAAAAACTTTGCTTTATGTGGTTGTGCAAGAAGTTAAAAATCGATCACACGATTGATTATTAGATCAAAAAAGTTAATATCGTAATTTATATAAATAACAACTAATCAATTAAATAGAACATGGGCAATTTTTCTCGATCATTTTTATGTTGACTGGTTTGGAGACAATTATCCTAATCCCCACCCCATAATTCACTAATATCAATCTAATTCTCGTAACTAGAATTATTATATGTCGGATGTGAATTATACCACTTTAATTATTATGTGATAACATATCTTGGCCTTTACCTAAACTATTAACAAAAACTTTGCAATAAGAGGTTGATCGAGAAGTTTTTAAAAGCCGATCACTCGATTGATCATTAAATTGTTTGAAGATAAAAAAAGTTAATAATGTAACTTATATAAATAACGGTTAATCAATTAAATAGAATAGATACAAATAGTGAAAGATGTTAAAGAAAGAACAAAAGTGTTGCAAAGCACAACTCGAATTACAAGCATGTGTATAATTGAAATCCAAACAGATGAAACTTTAAGAGTTGTGTAATGTGAAAGTGAAAGAGCTTATGAAACTTTCGAAATTGTGGGATGTAAAAGTGAGAGAGCTTTCAAAGAGTGTGGGCAAAATACTAAAAGTCGATGAAAGATACAAAAGTTAGAAAATCCCTTAGCAATTACTCGTGACGTTGGTATTTATAGTGAAATAAAGATGACTCTTAAATGCTAGGATCATGTCATGTCATCCATGTTTGGACAGATCATATTTGAGTTTAAAAAAACTAGTTTTTTTTTGGATAAATTACTTTAATTTTCTAGCATTTTTTTTTAAAAAAAAATTGGGTCTTTTTTTAATGGATATTACTCCGATCTTACTAACTTAGTCTCCTTAAAACATCCCAAAGATAAGGCATGAACATTGATCTTATCATAATACCTATGTTTATTCTTACATAGTCCAAACCTCGTGCTAGATGGACACATTCTCAACAAATCATTGACTACAAGATCCATATCATAAGAAGAAAAAACAAAATGTAAGATTTCCATCTCTCTCTCTCTCTCTCACAAAATAATGAAGGAAGAAGTTAACGAACTAACTGGCCGACGAAGGATGAGGGTAGGTGTTAACAAATGATCTTCTTTCCTTTTAGAACTTTGTTAGTCGCCTTATGATCTCCATCTTTCATTATATATATATATATATATGAAGAATGTATTTCATCAATCTAGATATCATAGGTAGAGATTGATCTTGTCCTAAACCTCATTGAAGGATTAAGTTAATCTTCTTACCTATATGAGATAGCCTATAGCCCCTAAGGCAAGAGTTTACCTTTCTAGCTTTCTATTTTATTAGTAAGACTTTTCAAAGGCTATGTCTTAAAAGGAGTATGTGAGGAGAAGAGAGATCTTTCCCTCAAGCCTTCATTTGGAACAAGTGCTTTCCTTCTTTGCCTTTCAACAAAAAAGAAGGAGAAAGTGACCGATCCGATAAAGAAAGTTAGCATATATTGTACCATCCTTTTTGAATCCTAACTCGGGAAATGGAATACGACTTTCTTTACCCTTGTAAGCCTAAATCTTGGCTTTCCTTTAATCCTCAAACAAGGGATAATAAAATGACTTCCTTCTTAGAGAAGCGACTCGTCATAAAAGCTTTGCTTTTGAAATGAGCTAAGCCTAAAAGATCAACTTAGCATAGGGGCCAAGCATTGTGAGCTGGAAAGAGCTAAGCAAATGAAGAGAGGCATTATGGCTTGACTATAAAAAGCAAAGCTTAGGGAGTAAGGCCGACCACTACATAAGTTGCGAGTGAAGAAAGTTTGAAGATCTTACTCGTGAGCTTACGTTTATTCTTAGCCTCTTTGATTGGTAGATGGGCGGACCCCTAATTAATATTCCATTCATAAGGCTAATTATCTCTTGTTATCATGCTTAGGTTAGATTGACTACTAGAGACTACTTTTATCTTATATAGTGGCCTTTCTAATTTGATGTAGTTATATTTTGTATTGTGAAGGATCATGCATCCTATAGAGGTGCGGAGTAAAAAAAAATTCCTTTATCTAAAACGCCCAAGATCATGTCGTTGAATCAACAAACCATATATTCATGAATTAAAGTGTTAAATAAATAATTATCTTTTGTAGTATAGATTTAAAACTTTATAGAAATGAGCCATCCAAGTTTCGATCTCTATCAATAATCCATGCGATCCAAGTACTACACAAGGAGTACTCAAAATTGATAGAGTGCTAGCTCTACCTTTTTTGACTTGTTTATTGTTTATGCTTTAGAAATCTAATCGAGTTAATTTTGCGACAACCTAAAAGGAGAGTGGGAAGATGGCGTGTGCTAGGATTTTTAAGAGAAAACTATTTTTTCATATTTTTTTGCTCAATGCTATGTGCCCTAGCTCTTTTTTTCTTTGTGCGATTTTCTCTCACTAAAACTATCTCTTCTTACCGTAGCTCTCTCCCACATATTTATAGGAGAGGCTTCTTATATTTGGAGGACAAGGAAGGAGCAACAATGAGTCCCTAAAGGACTCTAGGTTATTTCTTCCTAATCCTTCAAGGATTATGAGTTATTTTACATATACGCTTTTTTTTATCTTATCTTTAAAATATTTTAGTCTTATCTTTAAAACATTCATCTTTATCCAATAAAGTTCATGTTTATCCTCCCATCAAAATATCTTTTAGACTTTTAATTAAACATATTGGCCTAACTAATTAATTTAAACTATCCAAATAAATTAGGTTAGATAATTTTAGGAGGCTCACTTTAGAAAATAATTTCTTAAAATACCCTTAGACCTAAATAGGAAACTAACTTTTTTAGGTTATTTATTTCTAAATTTGGAACTCGAATTCCAAATTAGGAAACTGATTTCTAAAATACGAAACTTTTCATTTTAGAAAACTTTTCATTTTTAGAAAATTTTTCCAAAATAAGAAACTTTCAAATTGAAAACTTTTTTCCAACATCTTTGTTTTTGTCTTTTATTTTGTGCATGCTTAAACTTATGCATATGACTCAATAGGCTCCTAGATATGTTGGTAATGTATGAAGAATAAAAGACACCTCTTTTATCCCTTGATACATGAATCAAGATTGGCTTTTAGCAAGGCATCATGACCACTCAATTCTCTAAGAAGATTAATTAATCCGTAATTACATTTCATGAGTATGGTTATCATACAATTTAGTCCTCATGTTAACTTATCATAGTGTGATCTCGAACTTGGTTATTAGTCTTATTCGATTACGATCACACAAATTTTTTTTGATTCCTAAATGTCTTAATTCATAGAGTAAACCAACTATGCTCTATTAGTGTACTCCTACTATAGCCGTAAATTTCTTGAGCAAACATTCATCGAATTACGATGTGATAACTCTTTTAACATATAAAGAATGACATGTCCTATCTTAGTCATCCACCTACCTTCATTAGATTCCTAATGCACCCAACAAATAGTCCACATACAACCCTTTACTAAGTCCATCGAAATGAATGT